ATACACAATATATATAATATTTTAGAATAAATTTTTTATGAGTAATTCAATTACAATATATTAAAATTTTCACAAACAATCTATGTAGGTATATAGTATATTTACTTTTAATCTAGATAACATTATAAGATATTATTTGTAATACTTACCAAAAAGTGAGAATAGAAATTACATTTGCGTTTTGTCGTGGATTTTTTGGATATTTTTGTCGATCGTTGCTTATCATGGTGACTCATAAAACTTTTATGCATCTTCAAATATGTTTCATTTTAAATATAGAGAAAGAGACTATCTATATGTTTTTTAATTAGTCCTAAAAATAATTAATTAAGATAATAAAATAAGATAACAAAAACGTATGAAAAATATTCTATAGATCAAACGGTATTTATTTTAATTATATTTTTGATAAATTGACATCAAGAGAGATGTGGAAGAAGGAGAACTCTATGTCTTTCTAATCTTTAGAATTAGAAAAAGACGAAGAGTAAGTTGAACCGAGATTAAAGGGGGCATGAATCAATCGTCAACTGAAAAGTTTTAAATTTGTTTAAATCAGTTGTTATTTGAATAATGTTTAATTGAATTATTTCAATTGTGAATTGAAGGACTTTTAATTAAATTCACTTTAATCAATGAATGGTCAATTGAATGGTTCAATTGAATTTGCCCACTTTGATTATCAATTTTAATTATTTTTGTTTTCGTTAATTATATTAATTTAAAAAATTTTTATTGACAGTATGAACAACCCTGCTCCAAAGGACTCCATACCAATCTTATGGAAATTGGCTTTCTTTGATCAAATTGGTTAAATTTTGAATATGTTGCAGTTCTCGTCGTTTTAAACAAATGTCTCCGTGAAAGACCAACTTTCTGCTATGATTAGTTTTTGCGCTACACGTCCTAGGAAGTTTATTTTATAAAAAATTGGATTTTTGTTTGTTATTAGTATTATATCATTATTGATATATAATAGATGTGTGCGTGCATATATATTCATTTATATACCGAATGTCGCATTTTAAATAACGATCTCAGGAATATTTCTTAAAAAGTGCATTTTAGAAAAAAATATTTCAGATAAAAGTGAAATGGTTTCAAAGGAGATGTATTTTAGTCACGTCGTTTTTTTTCTAGATAGAGTTTATATTAATTGACTGACTCTCAATACCTTATATCTTAATACTTTTGTACGTAGAATAATTAGAGGAATAATATTATATACAAAAATCGTATGACTTTATTTTTAAAAATAAAGGTGACTTTCATATCTTTTTGGCCCTTTCATCTAGAAAAAAAAACGACGTAACCGAAATATATTTCCCTCGAAACCATTTTACTTTCATCTGAAACATTTTTCTTTAAAATGCACTGTTTAAGAGATGTTTTGGAGTCGTTTAAACTGGATTACCTGATATATACATAAATACAAGAGCGCGCGCGCGCACATACACACACACACGCATCTATTATAAATCTTTCAATAATGATAATATCAATAATATATAAATAAAAACCCAATTTTTTAAGAATAAATTTTTCAAGACGTGTAGCGCAAAAAACTATAAGTTATAGAAGGAGGCATTTGTTTAGAAGGACGAGATCTATACATACATATCCAAAATTTAGCCAATTTGATAAATACCATAAAACCATAAAAATTTCCATAAGTTTGAGCGGGTCTTGTAATAAAAAAATCTGTAATTAAAATTAAAACTATGAAGTACTTATATAATATATTAATAAACATAAAATTTAAATTTAAAAAAGTAGTTTAGAAAGTGTTTTAAGTAATTAAAACATTTTTTAAATGTATTCTGTACTCACCAAATTGATTGTGACAAAAATCTTTTCAAAGCTCTCATTAACCGTCTGAAAATAAGACGGTCGAGTTTGTCTGGCACTTTATCACACTCTGCCTGTGCGCTATATCATATTTCCTTGAATAAGAACGATACATATTCTTATCGTGAGTAAAGTTGAACAGTATACATAATGCAAACAAATTTTCAAGAAAAAAAAGCTATTTAAAAGATATAACCAATTAGCTCATTCGAGTAATGCAGCTCTAGCGTGATGACTGTGTTATGTACTTGGCGAAAGACGCTACTGTGTCTACTAAGTCTCGTTATCCTGATGCTTAAACGGTTGTAAATTTACTGATAGCACAAATCTCTCTTTTTATCACCGTTTTTAAACAACATGTGTTTATACTTTTGTTTAATATAAGCGCTAAGTCATTTTAAAACATTTTCAAATTTAGCCATCTGTTTATTTATATGTCTATTTTTTGTTGTTATTGATTTTTAGGAATATTTATTATTTAATAATTAATTTACTCGATTTAAATCATTTATTTTCTTCATATATAATATGTCATCAAATGAAATAAGTCTAGTCTGAAATAAGTATTGCTCACACACACACACACACACACACACACACACACACATAACATTAAATTCAGTAAGTACTAGCTGCACACTGAACACTATATTTTTCTAACATTTAGACATCGTGCAATTCTTAATACGAATGAGAACGACACAATATACGAGCGAGAACGATACTTCCTTTATTTTTATTTTCTTGTATGTTCAGAAAGTAACATCTGGCAAATAGCTGCAGTGAAAGGAAACGATATTATTGCATGTCGAAACAGTCAAGGAACTCCTGTAACACGAGAAATAAGAAAACGAGCTCGAGGAGAACTGTAATTATGGTGTGTCTGCGATATTTTTGGCAAAATTCTTATACTTTTCGTATTCGATGTCGTATGTGAAAGAGCCAACGAAAAAAAATATATGCGCGACTGGCTCGTTAATCTTGCAAGAAAATTGATGTTATCCATTTATTTTGCATGATCGGCATGCCTCAGTATTTCTCAGCATTTGACTAGAAAAGTTTACCTCGAAGCTAGTACGATGTATCTATTGTCAGTCTACTGTACACCTTCGACTCGCATCGAAATCCAAAAAGTCATGCAGGTATGAAAGTTAACAACAATATGAAGAATATCCTGTCATCACCTCTGAAAAAAACAAACTGTAAATTCCTGAATGACGATATTTTTTTTATTTTTAGTCCGAAGCTGATCTCACTGAAGCATTAAATCTAGTAATTTGGAATAAACGATTCATGTCTTTTTTGGGCTTATGGCCGCTCAAGCCGAATCACCTTCTATTCATATTTTTTACTATATACATGATAATTTATTGTATCATGGGAGCAGGCCATTTGATCAAGAATTTTAATCAGCCAGAAGTCATCTTGGCAAATTTAACAGATAATGTACTGTTTGGAATGATATTGGGAAAAATGTTTATATGCAAACACAACTGCAAGATAATGATCGAGTTTCTGAAAAGCATCGAAATCGATTTCACGACAAAGATGTACGACAATGTCCAGGAGAAAATGGCGTATCTATATTATAACAAAATCGCACTGCTTTTCGTGAAGATATCGACAAGTATGGCAGGGATAGCAGCCACGATGTATTACTTGAGGACATTTTTCGAAAATTGGAGCGCGAGTAAGTACGACCATTATATATTTTCACGCGTAAGACTTAAAGCTATATTTCATGATAATGGTTTAAAAAACATTATCTATCGTTCATTATCTATTGTATCCTTGAATCATTATTTGCTATTCCAAAGTGGAATGTACTATGCAGACACGTTGTGTTCCAATTCAATACTTTTAGATATCGAGATGCTATAAGTAATAAACATTTAATTTTTATTTGAAATAATTGAGTAATACAGCACCACCGTTTATTTTAATAAAACCGTATTTTATGATGCTACAACTTTTATTTTGAATATTTAAATATTTTTAATTCTATTTATACGCTGTAAAAGGCTATAAGCTAATTTATAAAAAAAGATAAAGTTACTTGCAATTGGTTTTTTTTGGGTCAGTCTGATCGACGATTACGCATATTCCAATTAGGCTATGGTTGGATAAATATAATAAAGACGATGGAAAATTAAATGTAACGTGATGTATATAGTTGTATCCGGTAATTTTTCGTATAAATTACCGTATCCGGTTCATCCCTTCTTTGAGATCAAGGACGCTCCTACGTACATATGCATGTGCGTGTATCTGGCGCTAGCTATAGCGATTATAGTATGCGGTTATGCTGGACCAGATGCTTTTGTACTCAGCATGGCTCTTCATGTTTGCGGTCAATTTGCTGTTTTATCATGCAAAGTCAACCATTTGTTAAGAGATAATGAGAATTATCATCGCCATATCAGTAACATTGTGTTGAGACATTACCACTTAATAAGGTGAATTTATATTTAATTTATTACACGTAATAATAAGATTTTAACATAATAGTAATTTTAATTATAATGCGTTTGCATAGGTATATGTTACTCCTTATATAGATTATGTCAAGCTAACTATAATATTATAGTCTGATATCAGGAATAAATCGATATTTTAACAATACATCACAATTCCAGATTAGCAGAGACCTTAGAGAGCAATTTCAACATAATATACCTACAGCAAACTCTGGGTACTTTATTGTTGCTCTGTTTCACAGTATATCATATGATTTCGGTGAGCTTTATGATTTGAAGGTTGAAAGATTATTCACTTTACAATTTGCTTCTCCTATATTTAAAAAAATATTGATGCTAAATAAAACATTTTAGCAGTATTCTATAATTGGATCAAAAATAAGTGTTATATTTAAAAAAAAATTTGATGCTTATTTTTCTTTCAAATTTATTATAGTTTTTATCAATTAACTCTGCACTAATTATATAAAAAATTATAGATCCTTGAAAAACATTTGTTTTTATGTATATGTTGCAGACAGACTTCTATAACTAGAGGTGCATTTCGAGTTACGCATGAAGCGCATGATGCATTTGTCTTTGTTGTTAATCAATTAATAAAGAAGGATAAAACGATGATGATACACCATGTGCTTCATGCATAACTTGAAACGCACCCTAGACTACTAATTCAATGATAAGAAAGAAATAAATTTGATTCCGATCTTTTCTTCAGCTTACATATGCTTATGCACTCCTGTCTGTGAGGTATAGCGTGAATTTATATGAAATCACTAATGTTATTGTTTGTGTGATTTATACAGAGTATCCCAAAATAATCGCCAAATATTTCATGGACAGATAGAGCGGGCTAAACTAAATCGAAAAGTTTTTTTTCATTTTGTAATTTTTTCAATAGTTAACAAGCTATTAATTACTAAAAATTGTAGAAAATTGGTCTTCAATAATTTTTTACTCAATTACTATCAACTTTACAGACAAAAATTGTTTATTTTCTTCTCATAAAATTTTAAGAATTTTTTCAGAATTTTTTTAATAAGTATTTTCTCACATATAAACATAAGAAAATGCAGTACTAAAAAATTGATAAAAAATTCTGAAAAAATTCTTAGAGCTCTATGAAAAAAAATAAACAATTTTTTCTCTTGCAGTTTTTCTGTAAAGTTGATAATAAGTAGATTGAGTAAGTAAAAAATTATTTAAGACCAATTTTCGACATTTTTTAGTAATTAATATTTTGCTAACTATTGCAAAAATTGCAAAATGGTAGAGAATTTTTCGACTTAGTCCGCTCTACCTGCTCATGAAATATTATATAATATTTGGCAATTATTTTGGGAGATTCTGTATATGTGGGAGTGAGTGAACACAATGGCGCTACTTAGTGCTTCAAACATGAAGATAAAATCGACAGTCTATTTCTAGAAGTCTGTGATTGTAGCTTTTATAATGTGTGATAAACAAAAAATGTAAATCGATAATTTTACTAATTCCAGGTAACAAGCTATCGTTATTTTGACGTCGATAGTTAGTTAATATAGTTTTAAATTATTGACGTCATGTAACCTATATTTAAGAAGTAATAATGACGTCATCTTTTTGACCAAATGATTTAATTACGTCATTTATTTATATATGATGTCTTTACAATGTCATACTTAATGACATCGAATAAATGGCCAATTGTCGACGTACATTTATTTCGTTAATAACAGAAAATAATGATGTATTTTTATCAGTTTATGACGTTGTGTGAGTGATAAGAAATATAAGATTTTACATCATTTTTATGATGTTTAGACGTCAAAGAGCTTATGATTCTTAAAATAAAGTGGAAATTACAAAAGTAATTGAAATTACTAGAATATTTATAACTTCAATACCTAGCAAATTTGATTATTTTTATAATATTCACTTCGTCTCAGAAACCGTATAGATTCCTCATAAAAATAACTAATTAATGACGTCAAATGGACGATACCTTGCTACCGTCAATAACACGAAAAAAATGATGTATTTTTGACGTCGATTTATGACGTTATTATTTGTGACAAATCCACGTCATTTTTACGATATTTATACATAATTTTAAACGTCACATTTGTCATAAGAATGACGTTAAATAAACGACACCTTGGATAACTTATAATTATAGTGCAGAATCCTTTAAAATTTGAGTATTTTAAATAATATATATGCACAACATTTCTTATAAATTAATTATTGTTTATATTGATATCCAATTAACGAACGGTTAAATCATATTTCAGACATCGACATATGGCGATGAAACTACTGTCCTAGCTTTTGCATTATATGTATCTTGCGTAATTAGTACAATTCTTGCTTATTGCTATATAGGAGAGTGCCTCATCGTTGAGGTAATTACAAAAAGTAGGGGATAATTAATTTATCTATCTAGGTATACAAAATATGTGATTAATCTATCTATGCCTAAGCCAAAATGTCTGCAAATTTTAATCTCATTTTGAAATTATTCTATTTAATTAGAATACTAATTATTTGAATTATATGCTAAAAATCTTAAATAAATTAACTATAAATTATTTTCTAGAAAACGCAAATTAGACAAAAAGTCCAAAATTGGGACATACAGCATATAAGACGTCTAAATAAGACGTCTTATAAGACGTCTAAAAGTATTTTACAAGTCATCTTATGTCCTGATTTTGGACTTTATGTAATTTGAATTACCTTTGTAAACCATATATTAACATTGCTTGTTTTGTTCAGAGCACAGCATTACGTGAAGCATTTTACAATTCCGATTGGTACAATAATCCTCCATCAACATCAAAGTTAATCAACATTTGCATGGTTCGATCTGAGAAACCATTAATGTTGACTGCCGGTAAATTCTGCGTATTATCATTGAATACGTTTACGAGTGTAAGTTAATGAATTATATGTTTAAGGAGATCCTAAAGCCTCCTATTTTACCACGTAAGCACGTATAATTTTTTAAGAAATACTTTTTTTTCTCTTTCACCGATTTGGAAATCCTTTTCCAGGATTAAAGTAATACGTGTCTGGAAAGTTGAGAATAATCAAATCTATGCCGACAACAATCGAAAATTTCAAAATTGATATATTTTTCATTTTCTTAGTGTAACATAGCGTCTCAGCTGTCAAGTCCTGACAACATTTGTTTGATATAAAAGCTTTACAACATGTATGTACAAAATAGTGGTTTCCAGACACATAGTTCACACGAACAAACAACGTTGAGTTCTTAGAATTAGAGTTTAGACGCTTTATCGCGACAAATTTGTTATATGAAAATTGACGTGTGACTGCGTGTATCATAAATTGCGTGAGATATTGCTGTGGTAGTAAAAAGACATGTCGATGTGCAGTGCGCGGTTTCTAGTGATTTCGTCGAAGTTCGAGCTTTGCTTTAGGATCCCCTTAAAATGTATATTTTCCATTGTTTTGTTAATGCATATACTTCTGAGAACATATTTTATTTACAGATTGTAAAAACATCAATGGCGTATCTATCTGTGTTACGCAAGTTTATATAAAAGTATTTTATTTTAAAATATTTTATCAAAATTTGTCTACACAAAACAAAAATATAAGATTATATTATATATAACAATTAGATTATAATTTATATTAATTATAATTATATATAATAATTAATATTAATTATGTTATAATTTATAAACTTGTTAATGCTAATTATCCATACTTATATTGTTTCAATAATGTAACAAATATTCATTGAAGTTCATAATATTGATATTTGAAATTTATACATAATATTCACTTCACATACTGATAATCATATTTGAAATTTAGATTAAGAAATCTATTTTTTATTATAACAGAATTTTAATTACATATTAGAATATATATAAAAAGCAGTAAAAGTAATAATAAAAAAATTCAAACTCCGGGAAAAAATTTTTCATGTGCATGAATATGTATAAATATATATAAATATACATAAACACTCATAAATATTCATAAATATGTATAATTATATATGAAATATGTCCATACATGTTCATACGTCCTTCTTTCTTTCGGAAAATTACTTTTTAGTAATAGAAATAATAGTAACATGAAAACATAAAAAAAATAATTAAAGGGATAATTTTCGCATTGTTTGTTTTAGAAAAAAATAAGTTTGGAAAAATATAAAAAAATTGCTCATACATAATATATAATTATAAATAATATATAATTATACATAAATAATTTTTTTACATTTCTTCAAACTTGATTTTTTCTAAAACAAATAGTGCAAAAATTATCTTTATAATTATTTTTAACGTTTTTACATTATTATTTTTATTACACTAAAAAGTATTGATTTTATAAAAGATAAAAGAATGTATGGACATATTTCATATATAATTATACATGTTTATGAATATTTATGCATGTTTATGTATGTTTATACATATTATATTTATATACATTTATGCATGAAAAATTTTTTACGGGATATTACAAGAATCTCATTTATATTGATGGGTTAGACATATTTTCAAATGCACATAAATATGCAGGTTTAACAAATCTTAATAAACCAGTTAACGCTAAATATTCATCGAAAGTTCGAATCGTATTGTATGCCGAATATTCCGATACAGTGAAAGAATCATCAAAGTCACAAAATATACAAATGTCGATGAAATATTTAGAATATTATATGAATATTCTTGTGTATATTACGAAATCGCGAGCAAACGAGCAGTACATATCTTTGCCGACAGAAGGCCGCGGCGGAGAGTATTTACTCGTTAGCAAGAATCATCTAGAGAATATAAGAAGCGCAGCATTTTGCTTGTAAAGGAAGCCTCAAAATTGGGCTCAAAGATGAAAGTGTGAAATGTGAGCGCTTGAATTAGTATTATATAAGTTTGAAATTCACGCGCTTAGTATCCCGCACAGCACTTTTCATTCCAAATATGTATTGAATACGTATCTATATTGTATTTGCATTGCGTTTCATTTTATATAAATATAATATACGTATTAAATACGTAATTAACGCAATGGATATGATATAGCTAAGTCGAAATACGCGTATGTAATATATAGTACGTATATTGTGCATATTTAAATGGATATCAAACACGTAGTTGATACATATATAAAAGAATGTAATATGTTATATAAGATGACGTAGTAACAAATAAATATTTCGGAATAAGTACTCCGGAATACTCTTGGAACGTTTTTTGGGGATTTTAGAAATTTTTTATGAATATTTCAAAAATATTGTTAGATGGGAAATTTCGATGAATAAAAGAAAATAATAATTAAATAATTTTCTTATCTCTTTGCACGTATGGCTTACAAAAATTCACTGCTTTAAGCACACAAATTCTTAGCAGTGAATTTGTGTTTTTAAAGCAATGAATTTATGTTTTTAATGCAGTGAATTTATGTTTTTAAAGCAGTGAATTTGTATAATTAATGCAGAACGAGTACACATAAGAGCTATACTGAATCGGGATGATAGATATCTTAATCTTTAAAGTCTCCAATTTAATAACTTGATTTACGGGGCCGATCGCCACGTTTTTTTGTCAGATTCTTTCGTTTTGAGTAAAAACACGTCGAATAAGTGTATTTTTATTAAGATTTGAGATGGAGGTAAAGGAACACACACCAGTTAGTGAAATAGCGGACAACAAACCATTGACTTAAACGAAGTATAACATGTCGTCTACAATTAATAATAGTTTAGTAGCGCTATAGTAGGGTTGCCATCTGTTCTCATTTCCGGACGTTCTCTTTACCTCGTTCTCTTTTTTTAAAACATCGGGGAATGTCTGAAAAGGATTTTCCAAAGATGTCCAAGACAATTATGAGCAATAATTATTTAAGAAAATCTGACGGATATGGTAATCTTAGGCTCTCTTAGAGATATTGCCTGTCGGCAGTAAGCTGGTTTTCTGACCCAGCCAGAAATGATTGATCGATCAACGTCAAATCGATGGTAATTCAACATCGATCGACGTTAATTCAATATTGATCAACCAATCATTTGCAGCTGGGGATGATAGGGCTTACAGTAAGTCCGTATGCGAAATGGTTGAAATCTGTTGTTGAAATCTATAGTTAAAATCGCATTGACGTTGATCGATCAATCATTTCTAGCTAGGCAGAAAAAGTTTACTCCCGACATGTCTACAGCCTCTATTGTTACTGTTCATTGTAGACGACGTTTAAAATTTGTTTACACTGTTATAAAACAGATATTCCACAAGTATAGTTTTAAAGAAATAATAAAATTGTGTGACATTTCACGTGCCACCCTCTGCATACAAATCCTTACAATTTAAGCTTTTTCAAGATCTTTTAATCAAATTTTTATTAACATACAATTCTACATAACACATACATACACAGGATAATCTACTATAATCTTTCCACGCAATTTTCTCCCGAACAATTCGTTATTCAAAAAAATATTTAAAGTAAAACTTATTCTTATTCAAGGAGAACATTTTATGATGAACACACATATTTCTTATAGCTGAAAATATCTTTGGAGTAAATTTTACTTGCAACATTTTTTCGAATAACGAATAATTCGGAAGATAATTGAATGGAAAGATTATAATGAATCACTCTGTATATTGATGCGGGTCAAAACTTCTTTGGCGTATTTATCGATGCTGCGTGTCATTATGTGTGAAGGAATATGAGAAAATTATTATTAAATTATTATTAAAGAATATAGACATAATTCACAATATTGAATAAATGATTTTATATAGTAGATAAAGAAATACATTTAAAATATGCGCTGAACTTATATCTTGAGTTATAATGTTCGTATTATCGAAATTTACATGACTATATAAATCTCAAGAATCGTAATAAAATGATAAAACAAAAATAATTATATAACTTATAGCTTTCTAGAAATTTAAATTATATTTACAATTTAAATCTTCAATTTAGATTTATATTCGTAAGTATATTTCTTTGTTTATACCACAAAATCATTTTAAGTGTATTAAAATATCCGTATATTTAAATAATAATCTAACATGCACAGATTTTTTCCATTTTTTTATCGTGACGAAAAAATTAGTGTTTCAAGATTGCGATTAGAGTTATACTGCACAATATTCCAAAAGAAGCTGAACTTTTCATACACGCAGTCTAAAACAAATTGATAACAACTTTTGTTTATAATCGTGCATCGATGAAGAATCAACAAATCTGCATTGATGAAGAACCAATCATGTTCAATTTTACTTTGGATTAAAGCACTGGTGGGTTCAGTAACACACTTATATGAAATTCATACGTTAATTTTGGGCGCAGTTATTACCTGTTCCATAATCCGCGTGCTTCTATCCCAGATTCTATAGACAGCTCTAAGTACGAAAACAGAGATTACTTGGACTCTTACATTCGTATATTCGGTACAGTTTCATGTGAGCTCTCAAGGAAAGAACAACGTAACGCACGATGCAGGTGATGAGTTGCGAATTTTTTTTACTGTTACAAAACGCCATGAAGAGTATATGTTATTACATTGTGTAACGATTAATTACAAAGACTTTTTAATATTTCTTTCAGGATCAAAAAGATTTAGATCGTGCGGCCAAGGTGTTATCTTGGAACAAATGGCTAATGTCAATGTTGGGTCTTTGGCCTTTTCAATCCAACGATCTTATTTTCTCGATTAGTTTTGTCTACTTCAGTTTCCTCTTGGTTCTGGAGTATCTGAGCTTCTTCCTTTACATCGGTGATCTCGAACTTGTGATCATGAATTTGACAGAAAACGTGGCATTTTTACAGATATTTGTGCGAATGAGTACGCTAAGGTTATATAATGATGAAATCGGTGAGGTCATAACGGAGGCCATGAAGGATTTTGATGAGACAAATTATAAAACTGCCGAGGAGATTAAGACATTCGTCACTTACTACGCTAAATCGAGGATCTTTTTTAAGCTGATGATGGTATTTGTCACAATAACGGCTTCGTCATACTATTTGACTCCGATTCTTATTATTCTCGGAAATGGAGGTGAGTTACTTCTTTGTATAACTTGATCCCGACGTATTTAGAAGAAATATGTGAAATATGTGAAACAAATAAAGTCTCGTTAACTGGCAGATCCGCATTTTTATTATGACTTGATTTTACAGAACGAGTTTTCATATTTTTATGATGAATATTTTTTTTTATCTTCAAGTTTTCAAAATCTACGTATCTCCTTGAGTTTGAAAAAAGTACCAAAGGTAGAAATTTTATTAAAAACGATTTTTTTAAATACTAGTATTAATGTCACAGTTGAACGTTTTCTCAGGACTACCCGAAATAGTGACCAACGAAAATGTGACTCAAATAATTTACCTATTACCTTATCGCTTTCATGTGTTCTACGCGATTGAAAATATACGTACGTACACGATTACATACGTCTGGCAAATGCCGTTTGCCTTCGTCAGTGCTTGTGGACAAAGCACCGCTGACTGTATTATGGTTACCCTCGTCTATCACATTTGCGGTCAGATGTCAGTTCTTGCTTTGCGTATTAACAATATAGATACCGAAGTCTGTGATTGTGGGCCTGAGATGCGACATATGATGCTCATGCATGTACGATTATTACGGTGAGTTCATGCATATACATATACGCGCAAGCTGTATAATGTAGTTAAAAATATGTATTGTTAAAAGCTCTCTTTTAATTTCACATTTCAGTTAAAACTAAACAAAATAGAGCTTTTTCGCTTTTTGTCTAAAATAAAGATTTTTGTTACATAAATTCTATATTTTTTTCTATTCTTTATTGACAAGGAAAACATAACTAAGTGTCCTCCTTCAACTTTAATAAGCTTTGTATATGAAATAATGTATAATAATTGTTTTATTTTTATCTATATATTAACATATCCAAAACTTATTATACGTAAATTCGAAAGGGATATTTAGTTATATTTTCTTGTTAGAGCGTTTACCTTAATAATTGAAATTTGGAATAAACTTCTGTTATTAGCAACTTTTATTAAAATAAATTGCATTTATATAACTTGGATTTTCACAGAATGGGAAAGATAATAGGAAAAGCATTTAGTGCTACATTGCTGGTGCATCTTTTAGGAGCTACTTCTCTCGTAAGCATCCTCGGTTATCAAATGTTATCAGTAAGTTAATATTGTAATAATGATTACATAAACGTAATATTTAATATATTTACATATTTAAAAACAATTATAATATAAGAAAATAACATAAATTTTTGTTTTGACATACATATATTTAGGTGTCTCAAAATTCGTGACTTAAAATAGTATAGCAAATCATTCTCGTAAAATTAAATAAAAAATAATTATAAATTTTTAAGTAATTTTTGTCTTCGTGTCTATGATCAATCCCACGTACGGTAGTTTAATGTTCGTTGATGAGCGCACCCAGAAAAAGATTTTTTCGATTCAAAGAAATATTTTTTTGCTATACTGTTAAAGAAAAAAATTTCTTTGATTTAAACATCATTTTTTAAAATCAAATAAAAAAATTTATTTAAATAAAAAAAATTATATTAAAATAAAAAAATTGGGTACAATTGCAGAAAAGAGGAGCAATTGCTGATGAACTGGACCTTGATATATGTTATCAAGGTCATAACTCTGAGTGATCTCTAACAGGTTTTAACCGTCGTTCGTCATTCATTAAAAAGTTATTAACAAAGAAGTTTGAAACAACAAAAACATTTTTTTTAAATCAAAGAAACCTTTCTCTGAGTGCGGACAGTGCGTTCACTAAAAGTTACATAGAAGTGGAGTGTTAAATGGTAGGAAATTGCCCAATCACAATCAAATATAAGGAGAATACTCTAGGAGAATACTCTCTAGATTAGGATTAATTAATATCTTACAATTTGAGACCTTACGATTATCTACGGCTTCTATGTTGAGCCTTAATACTTACAGGTGAGCTATTTAAACGTGGTCTGTAATTGGCTATATTAAAAAAATCTTTGTATCTCAGAACTATTTAAAATATAGAAATTAAAATATAAAAATAAAGCTTTTTATTTAATTTTACGAAAATTTTCTTATTATAATATTTCAAGTAGCGAATTTTGAGGCATGCTGTGTATATAATATACGTGTATATAATATACGTGTATATAATATACGTGTATATAATATACGTGCGCGCGCGCGCGTGTGTGTGTGTGTGTGTGTGTGTGTATGTAAAAATAAATTAGAATATCATAA